TGGTTTATTGAAGGAAAGAGGGAGAAGGAGAAGAGAGGAGAGAGAGAGAGAGAGAGAGAGAGAGAGAGAGAGAGAGAGAGAAAGAGAAAAGGGGGGGTGAAAGGGAAAAGTGGGAATAATGGAGCAAGGCAGAAGCTGCCTCTTTGGGAAGAGATAGAAAAGGAAGGAACTCAGGCTGGAGGCTGAAGATCAGCTTGCCTTGCTGGATGGGGGAAGGAGTGGGCATGGCTTGTCTCTTGAAGAGACAGGACAGACCATTACACTGATCTTATGGGGGCATTTTCTCTGTTGAGGTTTCTTCCTCTCAGATGACTTTAGTTTGTGTCAAGATGACGTAAAACTATCCAGCATACCAAAGGATATCAGGCATCTCCAACTCCTTTTTGACAGCCATTTTGACAAATGTGTTTAGGCTACCATTCAAACAAACTTTTGACACCTCTTTTTTAAGCCTTGTGAGCTTCCATATTAAACCTAAACTCTCCACTCAAAGGGCCTATATTGAGAAACTTAGCCTAGCCCAGGTTTATGTTTCTTCCACCATTACCCCACACTCATAAAATCCATCCACACACATATTCACGAGACTTCATATTGAATGAATTAACAAACTCATAAACTTCTTTGAAGTATAGCACACCTCCTCATGGATCACACTTTCTTCCTTCCCTCTGGGAGCCTGCTTATTAGCCTCACATCTTATTATAGGTCTAGAGGTAACTATTGGTGGGTCTTGAGGGACTTCAGTATATCTTGCCTGGCATTTCCTTCAGAGAAAGTCACTGCTGGTTCAGCAGACAGTGAAAGATTAATTGCCTTAGTCAAAGGTGAAAAAAGGCAGTATTTCAGGGGCTGGAGGTGTGAACTCATCTGTTGAAGGTGAAGAGACTGCTTCAGGGGGTACAAACCCTTGAGAATCTGAAGGTTAAAGAGTTCTCAGCTTCAGTAGGGTCCTCCCTCACATCCTCATCCCAGGTTGCAGGTTTCAGTTCTTTATCAACTAATGCCCTTAGTTTAGCCGCTGACACCCTCTGAGGCTGGTGCAATGGTAAAAATAAAACAGTGCCATTCCTCAAGGGTCAGCAGCAGGCAGCAGACCATGAGGGGAGCGGGTCCCAGGCAGGGAGCGGGTCCCAGGCAGGGAGCTGTATGGTGGGTGAGAGACCTCAGAGGGTCAGTCAGTCCCATGAGGAGCTGCGGTTGGTGATAGAGAGACGGATAGGCACACCATGTAGAGTGAGGTAAATATTTATTTAGTGGGTTATGGAGGGGAAAGGAAAAGAGAGAAAGGGAGAAGGGGGAGGAAGAGAGAGAGCAGTAGGAAGAGGCGGAGTGGGGAGAAGGGAAAGAGGCAGAAGCTGCTTTTTCAGGAGAGAGGTGGAAAAGAAAGCTCAGGCTGGAAGTGGAAGGAAGACCCACTTGCCTTGGTGGATGGGGGTCAGGAGTGGGTGAGGATCTATGGCGTTTTACTTTTACCATAATAGGTTGGCCCACAGAAGGAGTATCCAGAGAGCAGGGACAGACACTCTTGGCACGGCTAGGGTTTCCTTGACTGACTGCTTTCATTGGGACCTCTGCCTCCCAACCCTTGAGATTTGCTGTGTGAGTTCAGATCCCTGAAGATTTCTCCATAGGAACTGCTGATGTAGCTTGAAGGTTTCCCACTTCAGGACTTGACTTGGGACATCTACTTTTGGACCCTCACATTCATGTTTTATGGGTTTGGGTCACTAAAGCCTAATCCCTTATGAGAAGTGAGGTCTCAAAAGCCAGTAAAAGAGTCAGAGAAAGCCTCTGCTCCTGCTGTTAGGAGTTCCATAAGAGGACCAAGCTACATAACTGTAGCATATATGCAAAATGCCTAGGCCAGTCTTGTGGAGGCTCTCTGGTTGTCAGTTCAGTCTCTGTAAGCTTCTATGAGCCAGGGTTGATTCTATAAGTTTTCTTGTGGTGTCCTTGACCGCCCCCAGGCTTCTATAATTTCCTTTTCCCTCTTTTGCAGGATTCCCTGAACTCAGCCTAGTGTTTAGCTATGGGTCTCTTTCTGTATCCATCACTTGCTGGGTGAAGCTTCTCTGATGACAAGTGGGCTAGGCACCAATCCCAGCACATCCCATAGGCAGGGCAGATTGTAGGTTGAAGGTTATGTGGCTGGGTTGGTTTTCTGCTCCCTCCACTTGAAGTCTTGCCTGCTCACAGGAGATGGCCAGTTCAGGCTATGTGTCTGATACTGATAGGAGTCTTAGCTGGGATCACCCTTGTAGATTTGTTGAAGTTTTCTTTTTATCAGGTTTCTACCTACTCCCAAATGCCCACCCTTTCAGTCCATCCCTTTCAGTACCCTTTCTCCTCCATCCACTCCTAGCCTGATCCTTCAAGTTCTAATCACCACTCTCCCCAAGTCAACCCAGGAGATCTCTTCTATTTTCTTTCTCCAGGGAGATCCATACATTTCCCACCTTGGGCCCTTCTTGTTATCTAGTCTCACTGGGGCTGTGGGTTGTAGCATGGTTGTCCTTTATTTTATAGCTAATATTCACTTATGAGTGATTACATACTATGTTTGCCTTTATAGATTTGAGTTGTCTCACTCAGGATGATTTTTTTTCTAGTTCCATACATTTGTCATCAAATTTACTGGGTCATTGTTTTTAATGGGTGAGTAATACATTGTGTAAATGTACCACATTTTCTTTATCCATTCCTTGGCCGAGGGACTTCTAGGTTGTTTATAGGTTCTGGTTATTAGAACTAAAGCTGCTATGAACATAGCCGAGCAAGTGTCCTTGTGGTATGATTGCACACCCTTTGGGTATATGCCCAAGAGTGATGTAGCTGAGTCTTGTGGTAGATTGGTTCCCAATTTTCTGAGAAACCACCGCACTGACTTCCAAAATGGTTGTACAAGTTTGAACTCCCACGAGCAATGGAGGAGTGTTTCCCTTGCTCCACATCCTCTCCAACATGAGCTGTCACTTGTGTTTTTGACCTTAACCCTTCTGACAGGTGTACGATGGAATCTCTGTCATTTTGATTTGCATTTCCTTGATGGCTAAGGATGTGAATGTTGTAATTTAAAAAGTGCTGTGTGAAAGATGCCATGCAATAGAGCTTATGTGGAGGGGTTTTTATTAGGAGAATGGGAATATAAAAAGAGGAAAGGAGGGGGGGAGACCAGCCTCAGGGGGTCAGGAGCAGCAAATGAGAAGAGAGAGGCAGAGAGAGAGAGAGAGAGAGAGAGAGAGAGAGAGAGAGAGAGAGAGAGAGGAACAGAGAGGAAGAGAGAGTAAGATGGGAGGTGGGCAAGACCCTTTTAAAGGGAATGTAATGAATGTATACAGCAGGTGCTCTTTAGGTGCTGCAGCTGAGGATATATCCTGTCAGAACACCTTTTTATTTATTATAAAAAGGCAAGGAGTTAGAAAAAGGTAGCAAGTAATTGGGAAATGAGGGATGTCATGTTCTCAAGACAGTTTCCTTGCAACCTAGGGGCATCAATCATCTTTGGGGGACCTGGGAAAGCTGGGCTGCTGGCTACTTCCTGGAGTATCTGGCTGTTTCAATTCACTATCCAGGCTCTGTGGAAACATCAGGCACCGCCTGGACCTGGTGAAATGCTGTATGAGGTGGACCCAAGTTGACTTTTTATGGTTTAAAGCACCTGATTCTTTTCCATTACCACAGCCTCACCTGGACATGTTTGATAGTCTTACGCCTCCAGCTCTATGGCCAACATCATAGTTCTGTAACAATAACTGATTAGAAGTGGTCAGTTGGTCTCCAAAAATTATCCCAACGGGAACAAGGAGGTATAAATGATGACAATGAAATTACCTGGCGCAAGTGAGAAGGAAACACGTAACATGCAACAAACCCATTTAGGAGTTGATTAAAAGAGGTGTGCACAGGCCAGGGGAAGTCAGTGTGCAGAGAGAGAGAGAGAGAGAGAGAGAGAGAGAGAGAGAGAGAGAGATTGTGTGTCCAGCTTTTAAAAGCTACCTAGCGCATGTGCACAGGGGGTTGTTGTGGCTACGTCATACATAGATAGTGGGGCTCACGCATGCATGCAAGGGCTTAGCTGAGTCATATATGGATGATGCGGCCATGCATGTGGGTCATGCAGGGGTTCTTGGGGCCATTAGGCACTTCTGCCTGAGGGCTTGTCCATGCATGCATGATCCTAGAACCTGGAAATGTCAGCCTTATTGTGGCTGAAATCATTACAGACACAGTTCCCATAAATGAGGCAGAGAAGTAAGACCCAAGTGTCCACAATTCCTATTGTCCCAGGAATTCAGATAAGATTAATTTTGATATGGCACATACTGCTTTGAGTTTGGTTAAACTGAACTGAAGACCCTGACCTAAAACCACACAACTATGGACATCTGATTTTCTATGAAGAAGCCAAAATTATATACTGGAAAGAAAAAAAGCATATTTAACAAATGGTGCTGGCATAACTGATGTCAGCGTGTAGACAAATGCAAATAGATTCATATCTATCCCCATGCACAAAAATCAAGTCCAAGTGGATCAGAGACCTCAATATAAATCCAGTTACACAACCTAGTGGAAGAGAAAGTGGGAAACAGTCTTGAGGTTTCTGTGATTTATGTGGGGCCCAGAGCAGTCTGGCCACACTGTCATGACAGGCAGCACTAAGTTCCAGGAAAAGCCATAAGCTGACAGGGAGAGCCAACATCTAACCATTAGATAACATTAAGATAAGACCATAAGATGTCCCTAAACCCAGGACTCACCTAATCTCTTTTTACTAAGACTCCTAGACAAATGTCAACTAATCAGGGTTCTGAATCCTGAAATTACTCTCACCCCAACCTCTATTATGATAAAACCCCTCCCTGACTGGTCTGGGCACTCTATACTCTCAACTGCTGTGTTGGACAGATGGAGAGTCCAAGTTTAAACTTGATTCAAGGCTCTTGGCTTTTACATATGAGTGTCAACTCTGTGGTGGCTTTTGGGGGACCCCGCAGTCTTGGTGTAACAATTTATTGAGTTGTTTTTACTGAAGGAGCTGTACAGTCATTGTGTGACTTTGGTCACAAGTATTCATGGTACACCTGGAACTCTCATATTACTGAGTACTGTAACAGTGCACAATGAGAACTGAAGTTGCAGGGGTGTGATTCTCTCCTTCAAGAAACATATGGATTACATCATGGACTTTGGCATGAACTTGTTTTAACCCCCACCCCACAAAAATCTATTATGTAATAATCAACAACCACACCTCTGTATGGCTATTCAGGATTCAGTCCTTCGAGGTTGAGGTTGAATCTTCCTACCACTTGTAAGGTCTGGAGTGACCCCCTTCCTTTGATTGTCCTGCAAAACATGGAACAGACACATTGTTACTGCCTCTACATTTGTAATTATATTCCTGTCTTTACTTTTCTCAAAGACAGATTGTGAAAGCATTTGGAACTTTGGGCTGAAAAAGTCAATGAGGGCTCAGAGCTTATAATATTTTTTTATTTAAGATTTATTTTTTATGTTTACAGTGTTCTGCCTGCATGTGTCCTGGCAGGTCAGACGAGTTCACTAGATCTTACTATTACAGTTGGTTGTAAGCCACCATGTTGTTGCTGGAAATTGAACTCAGGACCTCTGGAAGAGCAGTCAGTGTTCTGAACCGCCAATCACAGAGCTTATGAATTGATGTGGGTATAATGGTAAAAATAAAATGGCACCATTCCCCGAGGGGTGGCAGTGGGCAGCGGGCCACAAGGGGCAGCAGCTCCCAGGCAGGAAGTCACACAGCAGATGAGGGACCTCAGCGGGGCAGCCGGTCCCATGAGGAGCTGTGGTGGGTGAGAGACAGAGATGGATAGGCATGCTATGCAGAGAAAGTGGGTGAGAAAGTGGGTATTTATTTAGTACGTTATAGAGGGGAAAGAAAAAGGGGGAAAGGGAGCAGGGGAAAGAGCAGAGAGAGTCAGAGAGACAGAAAGAGAAATGATGAG